TCTTTGGATCACTCTAGATGGCGTTGTTTCAGAAAAAAAAATTTAAATCAATTTCCAACTTAAACTAGCGGTCACCCAGAAAGAATAACTTTTATAATATTATTTCCCTGATCGGACTTTGAAGTTCACTTGAATTTAACAGTATTTAAAAAAAATTAACAGTACAGAACTAATACTTGCAACTTGGTTTATAGTTTTGTTCCAAAATACAATTCAATTATTTGATGAAACATATTTTCAGCTAATTATCAGTAAATCGTGAAATTATTCACAAACAAGATTATAGTCGTAACAAACACTTTCACAGCTTAATTGTATCAAAATACACTGATTTTAACAATTTTTACGTGTCGTAACTCTTAAGTAACAACATAAAGCAAATAATTTTACGACAGTATAATTATTATTACTTGGACGAACGCGCGCCATCTATAGTAATGATACTGAATGACGGAGTGTATGATTTGTAGTGAAATAAGGATAACCCACAGACCGACAAATCCAATTTCGCATCTATTAATAGCTCGAATATAATTTGCTGATCTCCTGGTTCTAAACGACGGATTTACATACAAGCTATGATTACTCAGGGTCCGGGCGCTCGCCTTTAATTCCAGATCCTCGAGCAACCCGAGTTCGATCCCTGGTGCCGGCATTAATGAAATTGTTAATTTTAAGTGACGAATTATCACGTGCTCAGCGGTGAAGGAAACATCGTGAGGAAACCTGCATATTTTCGAAATAAAAACAAAAAAAAATATTTCAAAGATATGTGAAGTCCGCCAATCCGCAGTGGGGCCGCGTGGTGGACTATGCCCTGATACCCTCTGTACAGAGGAGGCCTTTGCCTAGCAGTGGGACATGTACAGGCTGTTACTTTATCACACAATATTTTCCAGTAGTGGAGCTCGAGCCCATACCCTCTGGCGCAAGAGACAGGTTCACCATCCAATACACCAATGTGATCAACAATCAACATACAACGTAATAAATAAGTACGGATGTACTATGTATGTGTGCGTCTCCATACGCAAGCATCTATGCACGTATATCAATTTAATCGTTTTTCTTTTTCTTAAGTCATTCAACATAATTATGTACAATTACATACAATGATTTCATATACTGGAAAAAATAAGGCGTTTCCATGTCAGAAGTAAGGTTCCATGTAAATTTATATGATGAATCACAGAAATAGAGCTTTAAATTTTTATGATAGATTTAGGAGGAAAACTTGAGGTTTCTAAGTGAGGTCAAACCCTCTGATTTCGTTTGATTTCGCTTCTGCTGGAGGTAGTTTTGATTTTTTCAGACCTCTTCCATTTGTACCTAGTACGTGTGTAGTAGAACGAGGACCATGTTTTCACGTCTTATCAGGTTTTAGCATGCAATACATTAAGGAGGAGGTTGGAGGCAGAGCCATCTGCACACACTCCACCGGAGCCAAAAAGCAGTTCTTAGGAGTTAATTATCCTAACTTATTTAGTCATCATCATCATCATCATCATTTCAGGCTGTTTTAGTTCCACTTCTGCACTTAGGCCTCCCCTATAGACTGCCACTGACTTATTTATTACTGAGATAAAATTATACGACATTACTGATAATTCTCATCAATATTTTTATGATAATGTAAATTAACTCTTAACTTGGCAAAGAAAATATATACATTACGTCATATAAAAATTATTTTTATATTCTTTTAATATAAAAATTATTTTTATATGACGTAATGCTTGTGACAAAAATGCCTAGAAAAATCCAAATAAAATCCCATGATTGTAGTTTAAAAAAAAAAAACACATGTATCCTGCGGGATACATTGCCAAGAGTCCTTAATAATACGTAATGATATAAATGTATCTCTACAGATACTCTATAGGTAAATTTCCGTAGGTTTTATGAAAATTAAAAAAAAAACAATTTCTGGCAGTAGGCATAGCCTCATACCGCATTTCATATACATGACCGTAGTCTGACCTTTTATAAAATGTGTATATACATATATATATATATATATATATATTTTAGGACGATATTGTATTAGTTGTTACAGTAGTTGGCAGTGTGCATGACGAGATACAACCATTTAAAATGTGAATAAGACCATCTACCAGATAATAATTTTGTACTTCAAATGAATTCGATTAGTACAAAAACAATTATAATTTCCAATTTTACGAATAAGTGCATAGAACAAGCATAAGAAACATTTTTTTTCATTTTTCTAACCTGTATGCGCTTGCGCATGTCATCGGTTGAATGAAAGAAGTTTTACACTTGAACAATGTTGCCAAATTAAAAAAAAATTACGTATATTCGAAAACAAAGAAGTTATCTAAATATTTTAACAAAAAAATAAACGGGTTAGAATTTTTCAAACTTTGAGGTATCTTCAGAGATACATTGTCAAGAAAATGGTGCAACATTTACCGTATTGGTTTACTATATTATTTGTAGTATAATTTTTAGCTTAGTGGCTACAGCTTAAGGCCGCGAATGCCGAAGACGTGGGTTCGATTCATACAGCGGCGACAATCTTTTCGTACTGTTTCTATAAGTTTTAATGTTTAATATTAAGTGCAGAGATTAGCACTTTAAAAATTTAAATTTACAATAAGCAATGGCGACATCTGTCGTTCGAATTATCGTTATCGTAAAAAGATATTCGAAATTTGTATGCTGGAAAGGATGTAACAATCTTTTCGTATTTTTTTTTAAAAATTTTAAAACACTATAAACTATAAATCGTTCGTCAGAGTTAATTTTGTAAACACCAATTATTTAAAGATATAACCTTGTGCCTATCACTGTGTACTGACAAAAACATAAGATAGTTTCACGTTATAATTCGCAAACAAAAAACGTATCGATAAACGCAATAAAGATAAAGAATAAGCGATAATATGGAGACCACCACAAAGTTGTTTGCTCTAAAAAAACAGAAATTATTTAATAACAGAATTACAGTAATTAGTATTTAAATATCACTTATGTATGTATGAAACATAAAGCTGCTATTATGCGCTCTCGTGACTGTCTAATACAAAACCATTTTATAAGAGATCTATAGTAATTTACTTGGTCTTTGCAGGTGCAGCACGAGTGAATCATTAAGTGATTTATTTTTTAGTATTAGCTAAATGTTGATAACAAAAACACAAAGACAAACATAAAAATAGAGAACATTTTTATTTAACAATTATCAAATGATATATAAGTAATAAGAATCAAATTGATATTACAGTGAAACCTGGCTAACTGAGACATCAAGGGATCTGCAAATTGGTCTCACTTATATGTAGAGGTATTACTTACCCAGTATCATAGATATCCAGGTATGAATAAATATCTGTCTCATTAACAGAGGGCTCATGTTAGACCAAACCAAACACTGATCAAGTTCAGGATATTCTGATAAACGTACACGTTTTAGTTTTCCCTGTCCTTTAGAATATTGTCATTGAATTTTATATTTATTCTGAATTATTCTACAAAAAGTAGATTTTGGCACATTAAATTCAACACAGACGCATCGCGTGTCTTACCGTTTCCATAAACGGATATAAACTTCAGGTTTTCATGTACCGATAAAGATTTGTTTCGACACTTATCAAATAAACACCCGTATATAATATAGTAAAGTAAAACTAAAACTGAAGTTCATTGAAGCTCAAAATTAGTTAAGTGCGGAATTTGCGGGTCAAATAAGAATAAGTAATTAAACAAATAAAAAGATGTTATCTCAGTTACAGAGGTAAATGCATATAAAATCCACTCGCTGTCTCAGTTACAGAGGTAACTATGAAGATAAAATCGAAAGCATGAATCCCAGCAATAAATGTTTGTTTTTTCCCACTAACAGAGGTAATTCAACTTGGGACCTCAGCATGAGTTCCATTTATGGAGGTTTCTCGCTTATCCAGGTCCCTCTTAAGTTTCCCTGTATTTGGGTTCAAACTGAATATATACGTTTTTCATAACGTGGCAAAGGCACTTACGAATTCACCTGGCAATCCAAGAGTTCACTGTCACTGCATCAACGTTTTGGCTTTACCAATGCAAAGAAGACGTTGGAAATGAATAGTTTTGTGCATGTCTACTTTCTCGAAACCGTTATATACGTCTTTAGAAAAGATTAATATCATCATTATTTTCGAAAATGTGCAGATTCCCTCACGATGTTTTCCTTAACCGCTTCACATGATAATTCAGTACTTAAAATAACAGTAGAACAAAGGTTACCGACATAGCTCAGAGCACGACAACAAGACTAAAATAAAATAAACTAGCGACCCGCCTCGGCTTCGCACGGGTGCAATGTATAATAATAAATATAAATCTTCCTCTTGGATCACTCTATCTAGTAAAAGGAAAACGCATCGATACGTTTCGTAGTTTAAAAGATCTAAGCATACATAGGGACAGACAGGCTGCGGGACGACGTTGTTATATACTATGTAGGGAAGTAAACAAATGACTGCATTTCAAATAATAAAATACATCTTTATACAACGTCGTATTGTTTACCAAGTTTGATTGGAATGAACTTTGATTGGGAAGAGATAATAAGAATTTGTTTACGTTTTGCATTAAATTAAACGTAATTCAAAACGTTTTGATCCAGTGTTGAGGACAAAACAAGAAAGAAACTGAAATAATTATTTCCTTTTATTCCCACCCAAAATGTATGCTACTGTAACCTCATTCAACAGACGAAAATAAAAGTACAAATACTGCCAGTTTCCAGGATCCGCTCGTTTGCGTCATCGGCAGAATCTGTTGCGCTGGTTTCGTTCGGATTGAGGTAGCCGGGGCCCACTTTTCCCAAAGATGGCAACGCATCGGCAGCCCAGGTTGTTGCAATTTTCAATAGGCGGCGGTTAGCGTTTAGAATCAGGTGAGCCGCAAGCTCGTTTGCCACCTTCTCGCATAAATAAAGTGAATTTCTTATCCTTTCCAACTAACATGACAGCGTATGTAAAACACTGACTTTAGACATGCGTTATAAATATCAGCGAGTGACCACTCGGAGACATATCGAGTTAGTAGTGTGGCAGCACCCGAGGCTGCGACTCTTTAGACAGTTTGGTGTTCAGTTTGTTTTATCACCAGGAAAAAAAATAGCAAACGTAAGGTTGAATTTATTTTAATAAAAGTACATTTCGATAAGAAAACTTTTAAGCACAGGAATGAATATCGGCCTTCATTTATGACATATTTAAGGAATATGGTTATTATTGCACGAAATGGGCAATGACATGGTAGTGTGTGTAATTTAAAAGCTTATTTCGGAACTTCGACAAAAGCGGTTTTTTATACGTGTTGGAAAATATACAAAAAATTGAAGTTGGAAAATTCTTTCCCTTATGCAACATTGAACACAATTACATTACGTATTCACATATGCACGTATTCACGCCGAAGATGAGTTATCATTTCGGCATATAACTTGAAAACATTAGAAATTCACTGTGCCGTAAAATGCTAGATGAGATTGGCATTATAAAGACATCTATGCGTTATAAATTGTAGTGTGTGTAATGTTATTGTTTTATTATATTTTTTATAAATTACTATAAGTGTGGGAGATTTCATACTCCTCCGTCGGCGCAATTTTGGTAAAAAGGAGTACAAAGTACTTCGCGTAATAATATAAAGATCCTTTCTGTAGTTTTAGTTTATATTCTTTCCAGTTATAGCATATGCAAATATTTCTAAGAACAGTTCAGAAGCTAACCTTTCCCATACATCAATAAAAATTTTCGTTTTATTGCAAATGTTTTGAAATATTAAGTTTAGTTTAAACTTCTTACGCCTTATTCATTTTTCAAGGCCAACATGCCATTTATAAGACTAATTTAATGGTGTATTAAGGAAAATATTGGTTTCCATTACTTTTAAGCCCTTGAATGCCCTTGGAGTTAATGCTATCATTAAAAAGTACTCCGTCAAGTTGCGGGCATAATAATTGGTTGAGTACTTATCTTAAGTTTCATATTTTACGTTTCACTGCGCGGAAATATGTCCTTTTGTTTAGATATTTCTTTAATGCACCTAGATAGCTTAACCTGTAAGGATGTTTGTACCTACGGAGATAATTCAATCTTTTAATTAAATCACAACTTCCTACTTGTATAAGTTGCTATGTTACACACAAATTATCTCGGCTCTTAAGATTGTGTGACGCAATGAATGGTTATCATCCAATTGATAAATTAAAATCATAGACACGTATCATATACAAGTATATGGATGTAGATTTAATTTACTACACTTATTTATTACAATTTTTATTTATTCGTTCCTACGTTTCTTTTATCAGGGAAACGTTTAGTCCGATTCAAAGTGTAGCAAATTTTTCTATTTAATGTAGTCTAAAAATCGAATTTCTTTGGCTGTTATGAACCAGTATTTAAAGTGTATTCAACGTAGTGTTCAGCAAACATTTGAGATTTGTTTCATGATTGTTGTGAAACAAAAAAGTTTAAATAATGTTAAATTTTAAGTAATTATAATTTTCTTTTAATATTAAATTTTCATATTAAGTTAATTCTTACAATATATGTTTTTTTTTTATTATAGATGTTATTACTGCTACTATTCATGATTGTTTGCCTCACAATTTGGATGTATATACATTGGACGGGCGTAAGACAGTACTGGGCCAAAAGGGGTGTTCCCCATCTTCCTCCTCACCCGATCTTAGGAAGCCTCACTTTTCTACAGAAACAAAATCCGGTGAGACTTTTGAAAACATTTGTGAGATTCTTTAAAATATTTACAATACGAGGGGGGTTTTAGTGGGTACGAACCGGACATAACCCTGTTCTAAAAAAGGGGGCATTGAAAAGGACATGAGACGATTTTTATTAAAAAAAATTAAAAAAAAAAGGTATTTAAGGGCTTCAACGAGGGTGAAGCAGCGGGCCAAAAGCTAATATGAAATATATTAAAGTAACCTCTTTGATAATTTATCTTATAATACCGAATACACCCTCATATGGCCGGCTTAAAAATAAAGTTTATGTCTATGTTTGTAGTAAGATCTCAGCTATCTGTGGAATCTTTCTAGGTTCGAACTGATACATTTTCGAAGGACCCGGCGACAAGTTATGATATAGATTAAATAGTTGATTTTATGGCACCGTTGCTAAGCTATAGACTGCGGCGTCGAGGGTCGTGGGTTCGATTCCCACACGGGACAACTGTTTGTGCGACCCACAGATAGTTGTATCGCATCTGGGAATTGTACCCTTGTAAATTGCTATCTATTATGAGGGCTAATACTCAACAAAGGGTATTTATTAAAAATATAGAAAGATACGATAACTATTATGTCAATAAAATACAAATCCATACTTAGTGATTTCTAAGGGATGTATTATGTACCGCGCGGGGACACATTTGTACGACCGCACATATATAAGTACAGAGGTCGATCGCGACTCATATTACTATGGTGAAAGTACATTGTATGGACGTCCCATATCAAGATCATATGGAAGTAAGTTCTAATGGATAAAAGTGATTAATAGGCCCAAAGAAAAAAAAAATATCTAAGTATACAATGAATGACTTGGTACTTGATAAGAGATATTACTATGGAGTTGCGTGGTACTTCTGTGGGGGGAGTAAGTTACATTTTGATAAACTGCTTCCAGGGATTATGGATGCGCGATATGTACGATCGATTCAGGTCCCCTTACGTGGGCATGTGGCTGTTCTGGAGGCCCGCCCTCATCATCAACTCCCCGGAGATCGCGCGCAGGGTCCTCGTCAAGGACTCCGCCCTCTTCAGGGACCGTCTGCTGAGCTCTGGCAGAAGCGACCCCATCGGCGGACTCAACTTGTTCACTGTTAACGTAAGTACGATGACACGTAACCGTCATGATATATACGTATATATTACGATAATATTATTCCCTTGCGTCTGTTTTATTGTAACGCCGAGCTACATCGCAACATTATATTTCTTAGTCTTAGGAAAATAATTCATTATTTATACCAACAGGCTAGAATTCAGGATTGGAGTAAAACCACCTCGAATTTTCATCTAAATGAATCTCTGAAATTTCAAAATAATCAATGTAAAACAAATATGAACTATTTAAATGAAAGCATTTATGTAATCAATAATTAAAAAAGTAATAAGAAACCATATCTATCTTTATTGGGAGGTTATAATATACTTGCGTTGTTGAAACACTGGGCGCAGGCTGATAAACTTAAATATGCATTTTTTTTGTTTTATTGAAATAATTGGCCCTTACTGTAGTATAACATTATCCGTGTTGTGTGTAAAATGTCCCTTTTACAAATATAGTACTTTATTACGTAATGTCACTTTAGTCTATAAATATGTTCACATAATATAGCTGTAGCTTAAAACTGACCTTAGTAAAGTAAAGTAAAGTAACAGCCTATACATGTCCCACTGCTGGGCAAAGGCCTCCTCTATACAGAGGGTATCAGGGTATAGTCCACCACGCGGCCCCACTGCGGATTGGCGGACTTCACATATATTCGAAATATATTTTTTTTTGTTATTATTTCGAAAATATGCAGGTTTCCTCACGATGTTTTCCTTCACCGCGGAGCACGTGATAATTCAGCACTTAAAGTTAAAAACTTCATTGGTGCCGGCACCGGGGATCGAACTCAGGTTGCTCGAGTATATTGAATTAAGACGAGCGCCCGGACACTAAGCTATCACGGCTCTACTAAGCTATCACGGCTCTACTGACCTTAAAAACTGACCTTAAAAAATATAATATAATAACTAAAATATGTTATTAAAAGGAGTCCCTTTAGGTAAGGTTCCGAAGATACTGGCAGCGTTCCCTCTTTGAATAGCTAGACTAATTCTTTGTCCGAGGTAGCTGCCAGCTAAAAACAAATTTTACAAATATATATTTCACGTGGACAAACAAACATCCAGATCCGAAACAATTATCTGTGTGTCACACAAGTAGTTGTCTCGTGTGGATATCGAACCCAGGACCAATACCCAAAGCCAGTGAGCCATCTTCGCAACTGTGCCGGTGCCAAAAAACTATAAAAAAATATCAAAACATTGAAAACTATCAAATAATATATTGTAACTCAGGACCCCCTTTGGACTACGGTAAGAAGACGCTTGACTTCTGTCTTCACAGCGGCAAAACTTAAAATGACACAAGGACTAGTTTCCATGAAGAACAGAGAACTGGTACAGCGGTTTGTAAAAGAGATGAATCAGAATAAATGCATTAATGTACGGGTAAGTGAAAATAAATTCAGATTTATCCTAAGGAAATAATAGTGGGGAAGCAATGGTATGTATGGTACCTAATCTGTATTGGTTATTTAATTGTTATTCCCTTTTTATTGATCCGGTTGCCGGAAAGCCCGGTTAAAGCCCGGTTATTGAAACACCGATCATCGTAGAAGTCAACTAATCAGCTGTCAAATGGACATAGACATAGACATAGACATAAACTTTATTTTGACAACCAACAAACAGCACAAAAATTCAAAAAAAATTAATGACATGAACATAACATATTCATAAATAAAAACATAACATCGTTTCAACAAAAAAAGCAAGTTAAAAAAAGGAAAACAAAATAAGTACACAAAGTTACAAATATAAAAATTATTAATAAAGAAACAAAAAGACATATAGAAACTTTTGAAGGAAAAAAATGCATACTGTATATGTAATAAGGAATGAATTGTGCTGTGAGTTTATGTCAAAAATGGTCTCCACTCAGCAAAAAAAATACGGAGAGTTCCGCAATGCTGGTATTCTGTGGAGCCATTTCGATGCTAGGAATGTGAGGAAGGTGCGGGTAGATGCGCAAACTTGTGAAAATATTACCAGAATAAAATAAACTAAAATAAAATAATAAAAATTAAATAATAATAAAAAAATAAATTATGCAACACTGTTAGAATTTCTGGCAATTATTGACCAACAGAAAGAAAGCAATGCAAGTAAAAATTATTAGCAATAATATTGATTAAAAAAAAAGACAAACAAACAAAAGGACTTTATATACACATAAATACATTATATTAGTGCCACGGGGGCTATTAGGGACGCATTAGACATTTTGCGTTAAGTATGTGGGTAATACTCGTCTAGAAGCTGGTAAGCATTTTTGGAAAGACAAAAGATGTTGTTTCAATTTGAATTTAAAATTACTTAAACTTTTTATAACCCTTATAGGCGGTGGTATGTTGTTCCAGCATTGAGACGCGGCGTACTTAAAAACTTCCTCTGAAAGAAGCTGAGCGGTGTTTTGGGATCCTAAGTATCATCTTTTTAGTTGCCCTAAATCGATCAGTTGACAACCAATCAAGTTTTTGAAAAAGATACTTAGGTCGGCCAGTTTTGATAATCCCAAATAATAGGGTTGCCAAATGAAGTTCCCTACGCAAAGTCATTTTAAGTACATTAAAATTATTTATGTGAGGAGTGACGTGTGTACGAGGTGGAATTTTAAAGCAAAAGCGCGCACATGCATTCTGAACTCGCCGAATAAGTCGTTCTGTACCCGCTAATATTCGAGGGCCGTATACAGTATCAGCATAGTTTAGTCTGTGGCTTGTAAATGGCTTATCGAATGTTATTCAAGTTGTCAAAAGGATTGTTAAACTCTCTGAATTTATCAGAATGATCTTCTTAATGATCAGAATTATCAATTCAAATCAATCTAGAAACGTGGGAAAATAAAATTTAAAAATAAACGCGATAAATCAGTAAATATAGTTTAATTTAGTAATGTGTTATCGCGTAAATACCAGAAATTATTATATAATTTAAGCTGTTAAATAAATTATTTATCTTTCTTTAATTGAGGACTAATAACATAGAGAGCTTTCTTTGTAGCCAAAACTCTATCTCTGTTTACTCGCACAGTAGTGCTCCTTTCTTCCATCCCATTCGAATTCCTAATTAGGGTTCCGTACCCAAAGGATAAAACGGGACCCTATAACTAAGACTCCGCTGTCTGTCTGCCTGACTGTCCGTCTGTCACCAGGTTGTATCTCAAGAACGGTCGGACAGTCGAAATTTTCACAGATTATGTATTTCTGTTGCCGCTATAACAAGAAATACTAAAAAACTGAATAAAAAATATCTAAACAGGGCATCCATATAACAGATATGTTTTTAAAGATAATGGTACGGAAACCTTCGTGCATGAGTCCAACTAGCACTTGGCCGGCTGTTTACTGCGACTTTACTGCGTTCATCTCATGCTTGCGTTACAGATGGTGCTGTCTGATTACACAACAGACATAATCGGTATGTCAGCGTTCGGTATAAAGTGCAATTCGACCCTCACTGGCGAGGGGCCCCTGAGGGCTATCACGAAGGAGTTCATGACCTACAACTGGTTCCGGGGGTTGAACTGGTGTTGCATATTCTTCATACCGGAGCTTGCTGATGTGCTCAGGTAAGAAACAGTCGAGTGGTTGTTGTACTGTTGTTGAACTGCTTTGTGTAAGCATTAGTTTGCGTAGTTATTGACTATCCCAAATTATGTTAGATGTCATATATGGTAAAATGAGTTCGTGGATGGGTTCTTCCTTCCATAAATCTAATTCATCATTATTTCGGTCTGTTTGAGTCCACTGTTGAACATAAGTACAGAGTGCCACAAAAGGATGTTTCTGAGTCACCTGCATCCATTGAATTCACGCACACTTGAACAAGTCGTCACTCCACCTATTGGGAGGTCGTCCTACACTGCTATGGCCAGCACGAAGTTGCCACTCAAGAACTCTTCTTCCCCATCTATCCTATCTAAGAGTTAGATGGCCGGCCCATCGTTCTAATCTCAGCTTGCTAATCTTCAGAGCTATGTCGCATAGTTTTGTTCTGCGGATGTCTTCGTTGCGAACTCTATCACGCAGAGAAATACCGAGCAAAGCCCGCTCCATAGCTCGCTGAGTGACTTCGAGCTTAATCATAGGGCCAGCACTGAAGGACCACGTCTCACTTCCGTAGGTCATCACTGGCAACACACATTGATTGAAGACTTTAGTGTTCCAACATTCTGGGATATTAGAAATCCTAGTTAATTAGTAATAATCTAATATATAAAATTCTCGTGTCACGGTGTTTGTAATTGAACTCCTCCGAAACGGCTCGACCGATTTTCGTGAAATTTTCTGTGCATGTCGACCAGGGTGGAAAATCGGACAACATGTATTTTTCATCCCCCTAAATGTTAAGGGTGGTCCACCCTAAACAGTTTTTTCTACCCTAATAATTCCCTAGACATAATTTATATGGCAGAACAACGTTTGCCGGGGTAGCTGGTATCTTATAATAATAGCGATACTACGCATTCGAATTCAGCGGTTAAGGTCAGGAGTCAACATTGCTTTAGCTTTAGATAAACGACACATAAATCACAAGTCATATCAGCATTTGCTGGGAACGATAAACTATTGTTTTAATATTCAACGTCCATTGGTTTCATTTAATGTGGCTAATTTCAGATTATTTCCGAATAGATATGTATGAGTATTTTAATTTTTTTTTATCGATTTAATTTTATTCTCGCTTGAATGTTACAAACAAAAAAATAGGCTGATGTCAAACATCGAAATGTTATACCGATAATATGCATAAAAGGATATTTATGAAACTTAATATGGCATAGTCATATATAATATATTTCATAAACTAAATAATCAGATATTTTTAGGAAAATATGATTGTTTATTTAATAATACATTTATATTAGTTTAACACAAAAGTTAGAATTTCAATATTTTTTTCTTCGACATATCACTTCCCGCGTTCACATTCCCACATCATATTACAGTACCTGGAGGACCGAGCTTTGCTCGGATTTTTTATTGGTCAATCATGTGTTTTGGAAATAAAAAAATAAAAAATAAAAAAAATGATCTGGTAGAGAAAAAAAGGTAAAAAAATAAGCGTGTAAATGATGAATGCCGTCTGTTTTGGGGCCGCCCGATTACAGACCGAGCTATTATAACATTTTTTTTTGCAGCGAAATTTACCGTCATATTCGATTGATAGTTTGCATTCCCTGAAAATAGGGATAAAAGGATATTTTCTAAAAATATAACCTAGCTAGATCGATTTTTTTACAAATTTTTTTCATAAAATGGAGCCGTTTCAGAGATTCCGATCATATATATATATATTTTTAACAAGAATTGCTTTTAAAATAAGATTAATAACAGATAGTATTGTGTCAGCCCTGAAATAATGATTTTTCACATAAAAATTGATGAAGGTCAGTTGCAAGATTTAATATATAAACAAGAATTGCTCGTTTAAAGAATAAACGACCATTAACTGTAGACGTCTGACGCAGACTGAGAAAGCACATGATCAACTAATAAAAAACATAAAAAATGACTTAACTTATATAAAAACTAGGCCACGATATAAGGTTTCAATATAATTTTTAAATTTAATAACAATCTTTGTTTAAATAATCTTTTTGTGAAATCTCTTTTCAAATTGATGATATTTGTACATATTGAACAAGTCTGACTCGGGCGAAGAAGAAATGACTAAACTACTCAAAGAACGTTGATTAAATTTGACCATATTTGTTGGCAAACTATCCGTAAGTGATATACAATAAATACATCAAATCTTCTGTATTTCTACGTTGACACTTCTGATACTAAAGGGAATTTTATACATCTTGTAAAGTAACTTATTAAAGAAAGAAATAGCAAATGCAAAAAAACGTTTTCAATGCTTTATTAACAATTTAATCTACTTGTCTATCGATTAGTAATTTAGAATTGAAATAAATACCCACATATGTTAAAAGTGCGTAGATAAATCTGTGGCAAAATTTTTCGCCACTGCCAGAATTCCAACCTGCGCCTTCCGAATCCGGAACACGTGTTGCTTAGTGCCACAGTCTGCAACATAATCAGAATGTGGCAGACTGCGGCACTAAGCAACACGGTCGACATCGTCACTGCGATAAAATTTCTAGCTATTATCTTGTCTCTTGTACACTTACAGATTTTCATTGTTCCCAAAACACGTTACGCAGTACTTCAGAAAAATCTTTCGCTCTATGGTCGATCAGCGAGGCGGATTGGACGCGGAGATTAGCGAGAGCAAGGACCTGCTCGACGCTTTGCTTAAAATGAGACAAGAGTGCAAGAAGGATAATGAAGGTCAATACAGCTTTGATGCTCTAGATTTCACTATTTTGTTTCCGGAAAGGGTTCGAAACGTCGGGAATTTTAAATCAAAATAAAAACGCGATAAAGTCCTTAAACTAGTTTCAATTAATATGTAATAATTAAAAAAAAAAAAACTGTTTTAAAAATTATTACCATTTAGAAAAATGAAGAAAAAAGAAAAATTACGCGAGCCCTCACAAAGGTCAGCTTTTTGCTAGTATTTGCGTAAAATCAAGAAGTAAATACATAAAACTTTCTTTGGGGTTTCGTGCCCAAAAATTAAAAAAATTACTAAGACCCCTATCTGTCTTTCTGTCCCTTAGTCACCATGCTGTATCTCATGAATCGTGATAGTTAGACAGTTGATCTATTGCGATTCAAGCCGAGGTTCGAACCTCCATCCGAGGGGCCCTTGGATCGTGTCGTGCCCCCCCACTGTTAGTCGATTGTCCATCTTTCGTAGCAGGGTGGCGGAGTGCAGCGGAGCGGACGGCGTCTTCTTGTCGTCGTGCACCAGCTACGTTGTTCTCACAAATCCGCGGGTCGTCTGACTGCGCACCTTTTCCACCGAAGCTGTCAAAGCCACCGGGCTAACAGCAAACCACATGGCACAAAAAAAATGAGACAGTTGAAATTTTCACAGACTATTTATTTCTGTTGCCGCTATTACAACAAATACTAAAAGAACATAATAAAATAAGACATGATTTTTTCGCCGTTTTTATAGATATAATGCTGAATGAATAGAGTGTAGAAATTCATTTCATTCATTCATTCATTCATTCATTTCATTCATTAATTCAATGCTACGAAACGCTTCGTGTGCGAGTCCGACTTGCACTTGACGGGTTTTTTATAAAAGCCACAAACGATTGAATGTTAAAAAAATTATTTCAGATCTATCTGAGGATGTATTAATCGCCCAAGCAGCTATTTTCCTTCAAGGGGGATTCGACACAACGGCATCTGCTCTGTCCTTCTGCTTCTACGAACTGGCATTCGAGCCAGATTTACAGGTATTTATAATATTACCAGGTGTCTTCGATTATCCAAATTAAACCATTTAGCTGACACAAAGAAGATACTTTAAAAACGGTGTTACGTATTTCTATGCTAAAGTTTACCCAAGCTAATTCTAATTAAGAACTAATTACTAAGCTAAACTAAATTTGATTAATGTTTTAGGAAAAACTGCACAAGGAACTAACGGATGCTGCAAGAAACAATGGTAGCACGGATTTTGATGCAAAGCTGTTATCTGAACTTGTTTACATAAACTGCCTGATGAAAGGTTGGTAGATAAAGCGCGCATAACATTTTCGATAGGATTTATAGTGACAGATTTCCTTCGGGAGTAATTAAATAGTGAGAATAAATGAGATTACTTTGAAGTTAACTTTACAATATAAATACTCACAAAATTTGCTTAAATCCTGATAGAATTATATATTTTTTTTTAATTATTACAAGGGGTAAAGTAAAGTAACAGCCGCCTATACATATCCCACCGTTGGGAAAAGCCTCCTCTGTACAGAGCGTATCAGGGCATAGTTCACCACTGCGGATTGGTGGTACTTTACATATCTTCGTAATATTTTTTGTTATTATTTCGAAAATTTGCAAGGTTTCCTCACGAATTTTACTTTACCGCTGAGCACGTGATAAGATAGCACTGAATTTCTTTGGTGACGGCACCGGGGATCAAACTTAGGTTGCTCCTTTAATTTAATATAATTATATTAAATTAAAGGCGAGCAACCCCGACACTGAGCTTTCGCGGCTCTCTCAAGGCGTTTATACAAAGCGTTTATTTTCACAAAGAACTGTTTTCAAAAACATTGTTGTTCAACTTGTTTATGAAACTTTCATATAAAAAGTTCAGCTCATTGTTTATATAAATTTTCTTATATAAAATTATATAATATAACTGTTATATAATTTTAGTATCAAACTGGTATTTCGCAGAAACCCTCCGGAAGTACGCGCCTATGGGATGGTTGGACAGAATAGCAGCGAAGGATTATCAGATCGATGAAAATCTTACAATCACCGCTGGAACACCGATTTACGTTAACGCGATCGGCATGCATTACGACCCTGATCTGTTCCCGGAGCCACATAAATTTGACCCGGAACGGTTCTTGCCGGAGAACGAAAAAGATATGAAAGCCTTCTCGTACATGCCCTTTGGCGAGGGACCAAGGCATTGTATTGGTAAGACATCAAAAATTTTACAATTAGCAATACTTCATTATATCTAAGTGGTAATAAGTGAAACGTTAAAAATAAGATAACTCACTGGGGAAAGACAGTTATTGTTGGACTCGTACCCACTTAAACCTATTAGCAGGACCATGAGAGCTCTCAAATACATCGGAGCCCCCGAGTTGTTTGATGGAGATGCTAACGCCACAGCTCAACACGTTTCTGAGGAGAGTGGTGGTATGTAATACGTACACACCACCACCTCCATTTCAATGAGCATTTACAAACGTTCAGACCCGTGGGTTCTGGCTACCCACGGGCTCTGCGTTCGACGACGCTTTAATAGTCTGCGAACTGAAAGCGGTAACATCAGTTAAAACAGACGACACCTGACAAACATGCAGTCCGCTCACCGAATGCGGGAATAAACAATGTAAACAATGGATAAATTTTACCGTGGCAAAATTTTCATCGCAGCAAATTAGTTGCAAGGAATGTAAAAGTGTAATACTATTCTATTAAGTTTGTTACTCACCACCCGAGATACCTATTAGCGGCGGTAATTTAACACCAAATTTTTATCTCACTTTGCACCTATTAAAGAATAAAAATCCTTCCTATAGCGCTGTGGTGAAAATATGTTTTTTAACAAAATTTGTACAATTTAAAGCAGCAATTAAAATTTATGCTAATGTTTGATCTTATAACTTCACGCATTATAACCCAACACATAAACCTTCCTCTTGAATCACTGTATTTATTAAAAAACCCGCATCAAGATCCGTTGCGTAGTTTAAAGGTCTAGGCATACACAGGAATAGACAGACAGCGGGACGACTTGGTTTTATACCTACTTATGTAGAGATTTCTTGCTCTATTATTTCAGAGTATAGCAAACTAACGAAGGAAGCCATGTAATTAAAGCTAATGAGTACCTTATAAAAGTGGGGATAAAAATGATCCAAGCAACTAGCAAGTATTTCCATATTGTAATCTCTAAGTAAAATATTTGAAAGACTAATTTTAAATAACTCTTAGTACATTTTTTTAAATGTGGAAAGTTGCCAAACGAGCAGACGTTAAGTGTATACCGCCGCCCACGGACATCTGCTACACCCGAGGGCTACAGATGCGTTGACAACCTTTTGAAATTTGGGCTCCGGCTACCTCACTTACCAGACGAAACGCGAAAGTATTTGTCATACTTCCACTTTACGCCGGTCTTCTGTGAGGTCGCGGTACTTACCCGGACGAGCCTGCCCGTCCGTGCAACAGCCGAGGCTGCTGCGTGGCCCTACCACCGTATAAACAATCTCTTAATAATCATACTATGTAGTGATGTGTCAAATGATCTTGTATCTTAATGAGATAGTTGTGTTTACACTTTTCCAGGCCGCCGCTTTGCCGAACAAAACTTCCGCTCCACCCTGGCGTCTATTACGCTTAATTTTAAAATTCAACCCACTCCCAACGCACCGCCGCCTTCCGAAGTGGAAATAGAGAAGAAGGGACTGTTTCTGATGCCCGGCCAAGATCTGTTATTACAGTTCATTCCAAGAAACTAAAATGTGTTCTATAATCTTCTAACATGAAAAATAAAACTTTATCACCTTCCTTATTCGTCCATGAACTTCCGCTAGGTTGTCGGCTAAAAGGTTCCATGTTTGCTATTTCTGTATATTGTAATTATACACATGTATTAACAATTATATGTTCAATCTGAATTTTATGCCTAAGCAAAAATGTTAAATTCTCTGAATTGATCAGAATGATCTTCTTAATTATCAGAATGATCAATTCAAAGAGTTTAACCGCCCTTTGATTTAACTCAAATGACATTTTAAAAGCAATTTGACTGCTGATTAGTTAACATTTACGTGTTTCAGAAACCGGAAGTTAAACTCTGAAGAAGAAAAGTACTTGCCCTCTGTTGACTATTTGCATAATAAGGACTTAGTTATTTTTTTAAGGAATTAATAAATTTATTTATCCAAAATTTATGAAATTTTTCGAAAAACTTACAACTGTAATTTTTTTTAAATGCAAAACTCTTGACACTTGTTTAAGCCAGTGTCACCCGAAGCTTCTGTGCGCCAAAAATAAAATTTATCTTAGCGAAATAAAAGAGAAAAGTTATATTAAGCCCGAGGCGACTGGAAATTTCAAAGACGGATTTAATGCGTGATTTCAACGGTGAATACCCATTGCTATTTTTATCATTATAAAGCCACATGTAGTCCACAAATATGTAAAGTTCGCTTCTTTCCTACGCTAATTCACTTAAATAGAAATTAAAACAAAAAAAGACTCTAATTGATATTTTTTTTTACTTAAAATTGTATAAGGTTGTTTGTTATATTCTTATTATGTGAAACTGTTCCAAGGAAAGTATTTTAAGTATAAACAACATTCCTTTTGCACATTTGATACATGGTTTATTATTTCTTAGATGCTAAGATATGTAGTCTGTCTGGTCAGATCTAATCGACAATGGCAAAAATATGTACATTCAAAAGTATAACCAAAGCATCATCCTCATTTTAAAAAATTAAGATTTTTCCCGTTGCCATATGCATCGTCGATTCTTTTGTTATCCCGCAGTTTGTTAGACCTCCTGTCTTTCTTTTCGTGAGCATACGTGTATAGCATTTCTTTGCTAACGTCGCTAAATTCTCTATACGCCTAATTGTGAATTCACACAAGGCACCGGAGGGTTCAGTGCCTTGAGATGGGAGACAAAGGGCGACGTGATTGGACCGTTTTGTTTTTGTCAGGTATAATTAATTCGGGTCGGTCAACACAACAAACAATTTTCTATTATTCGCCGGCATTGCGCGCACCCGTTTTTGCCGGATCCCTTTTGTGTTCAATTTAAATTACTTCGCGCCTAAAATTTCGAACACACCACCTTTGTTTAATAACCTCATGTAGTTTATAATTATCTGACTTGCAGCGACCTCTCTTCCGAGTATTTTAGATTTCTTCTTTTTTAATTAAACACAAACGCGATAGACTATCACTTCAACTAGTGATAGGCGATAATGTAGAACTTTATAGTATGTATAGTAGTAAAAATCCTAGATAAAAACATATTAACTCACTTGCATTAATGACACTACACGATATTTACTCGGGTCCTTACTATTTTTCGAATACGGGAAAAGTTGATAATACAAGAATGAAGGTAAAAGGAGTGCGTAGTGCGTTAATATTATTCAAATCTATTGATAACAAATTAATTTGTTTGTCTCCGACAGTGAAGAAACGCGTGTAAATTTCATTTAAATGTAATAATTTTTGTATATTATTTCTAAAATATGAATCTAAAGATCGCGATGCGAAGATGCTTCACCTGCTAACGTAAATGAGCTTTTCAAAAAAATTGTCGGAACAAATTAATATTTGTACGGTTATGCTAAGATTTTCTAATGTAAAATTAGGAAGCCTATGTGATGGTTGACCGCTATGTTTCTCTTATTATGCCACTACTGCATGCCGTTGATCCGATTATTCATTCATGAATCCAACGACTCCGCTGAGTGGAAATGCCATAATGTTTTCTGCTGGATTACTAATTATATTTGCAATATGAAAGCTGACTTTACCCATACCATAGAATAGTAAAGAAATTATTTTATATTTCTCTAATATAAGTGATATACATCCATTTGTCTGATACTCACGTTGTATTTTAGTTTACTTTTTAAGTGCGTTTAAATGTTGTAATATTCAGTACTGATTATCTCTTACTCGTGAATTAAGGAAAACATTTTAAGATAACCTGTACATTTAAGGTATATTGTATTTTTTTAATCCTTGTTTGACAAGCTTTTTATACGGGTTAATATACTTTTCCAAAAGTTTTCAGATATGTATAGGCATCTTTCTAGACTTTGCAAAGACGTTCGAATCAATATTAATCCCAATTCTTTTTAATCTTGATAATTTCTTGTATTTACGCGATTACACATTATAAATGAAACTAATTTTACGGATCTTTTTAATCTTGTTTATTTTTTTCTTTTTTTCCTCCTATTTTTGCTACCATCAGATTATTATATGTATTTATGTAAGAACATTTATATGAAACTAATTTTACGGATTTATCGCGTTTATTTTTAATTTTAATCCCGACGTTTCGAACCCTTTATATATAAAAATAGTTTTTAATTAATATATATGTATAATAGTGGTTCGTTGGGCCTAGAAATTTTATTATGTAAATTGGTAGATAATTAGGGTGAGCTTGGGAGGAATCGGTGTTCTTTTGCGTTTGTCAACCTGATGTAGTGGTTGGGTCTACCACCCCAAAAAGTTCAATCTATTGGTAGCAGGAATTTTACATCAGAAAATCAAATATTGTTATTTTTTTAAATAAATAAACAAGATATTTGTGGTTATTCACTGTAACTTCTCTTGGTTAGGGAGTTGTTTACATAAAATCATTAAGAATTGACACTCACAGCATGAAGAATTTGATGGTGATAATTGTGAACATCGTCAGTTGGTTGCTCTTCAGTTCCCGGTGAGATATGGTGTGCTCGGCGAAATCCTGAGTAGTATTGGTCTTAACAATCTTATTGGTGCGGCTTGGTATTATGATTGTTGGACCTCGATGCGAACGCGAAGCAGTGGGATTAGATTTAATAGTAAAGATAGTTTGTAACGAAATGGATTATATAGAAATACTCCCGAAATATGGCACAGGCGCGTAGCTTATGGATATTGGACCAGAAATGAGCCTGATATACAATCCTAAAGATAGTTAATGCTTACTAAGCATACATAATGGTCACGACCCTAGGTCAATTATCTTAAACCAACTACTATAAAGCGAAAATTGCCAGTCAGAATTACCATGGTACATAACAATAATTTAAAGACAAGAAATAATGCTTGTCATACTGACATAAACATTAGGTAGTTGCACAATTTAATTCGAAAACAAAACACGGATCGATAAACGCAATTAAGATAAGAATGTATGATCATATAGGGACATTATTGTCATTATTCTTTCTCATTCCATCTAGTGACTAACCCACTTTTTAATGTTGGTTACCCATTTGTAACTCGACAGGTTTTAAAAATGTCCATGGACAGTGGTAATCATGTAACATCAGGTGAATTGCCTGCTAGTTTGTCAACTTTTTATATTAAATACTTTTTTTTATGTGAAAAGTTGCCAAACGAGCAGACGGTTCACTTGATGTTAAGTGAATACCGCCGCCCATGGACGTTGACAACCTTTTGAAAATATGGCTCCGGCTACCTCACTCACCAGATGAAACGCGAAAGTATTATACTTCCACTTGACGCCGGTCTTCTGTGAGGTAGTGGCACTTACCCGGACGAGCCTGCCCATTCGTGCAACAGCCGAGGCTGCTGCGTGGCCCTGCCACCGTACGACAGAGAAACCATTACGTTTATGTCACTTAAAAATGTTTTAAGATATGTTTTTCGTAATAACGATTTAAAATATCAATGTTTTAAAAATAAAAACACGAAACATTCATCTTGGTTCTTCAGGTTGGCTTCTACGGGGTACTTACGTTACATTTCCTGATATTATTTCCTGCAAAAGTACCTTATATCGATTTGTATATGAATTACAACCATCTTAAGGTTTCTATTTGGAATTTAATTGGAGGTGAAGTAACATTACATATACTATTTGGGGTATATGACAATACTTATTATACTACATAATATGTTATGTGTTTGAAATATGAAACACTTTCATTTTTAACCGACTTAAAAAAAGGGAGGAGGTTTCTCCTATATATATTTTTTTCCATATTCGACCGTATATATATGTATATTTTTGATATATTGTTATTTATGAACCGATTTTGATGATTCTTTTTTTGTTGGAAAGGAGACATTCTAAGGGTCGTACCATGATAAGAAAACCCCGATCTGATGATGGCATCCTAGAGAAATCGACGGCAATCCTCGAATGTTATAGGGGTTGATAATGTTTTTTTAGTTTCCTGTTTGACGTCGGTTCTTGTTTGTTCAAAATTATATAAATCTTACTTATACATTATTGACATGTTCATTTATCACTATGTACTTGCTGTGCTTATCTTTAAGTTATTGTTACACTTATACATGTACTTATTGTTTCTTTTCTTTTTTATTGACGACCCCAATGGCGTAGTGGGTAGTCTACCTGCCTCCTGCGTCAGAGGGTGTGGGTTCGATCTCCACTACTGGAAAAATATTGTGTGATGAACATGGTGTTTTTCTAGTGTCTGGGTGTTTCTATATGTATAATATGTATTTATTTACAAAAGAAAAGTATGTTTAAGTATGTTTATCAATTTTCTACCCATACTACAAGCTTTGTTTAGTTTGGGTCTAGAAAATGTTGTGTACAAATGTGTCCTAAATATTTATTTATTTATTTTCTTTTTTAGTATTAAGATATAGTGTAAACAGTTGTTGATAGGCCTTTTAGAAATAAAATAAAGAAATAAATAAAATCACCCTTTTACAAATAACGATTCGTGTATGGAGTCGAGAGGCACATAAGTTCCTTACAACGACCACTCTGTTT